AAAGACACTGAAGTTAGTGCACCAACTGATCGACTGACCAACATTCACTATTCTACTAAGTTTTAAATATAAACAAATAGAGGCCTCCTTATTCCCAGCATCAGATAAGCATTAAATCGTTGATAATTCTCTAACTACTGCATGCAGATCAACTAGAGGCATAAAAAATTTACCGGAATATAAGAACAACATATTTTAATCACTTTTAAAGCAAAAAGAACAATTTACCACTATATAAGAATAAAAAAACGGAGTTCACCGAGCAGAGTAACAAAATGAGAATATATATATGTAATAATAAAATTCCATAGTCAAGAATACACTTAAAATTCTAACTGTATGTTCTTTTCATTTTTAATGGCGACGTTCTCTTATTTGAAAGTACGTGGAATTAAATCCACAGTCCCGTAGTCAAGTTGCTTTTCCCGCCTTTTGTACACGTACATTTATAGAATGTTCTGGAAATATTTAAAACGAACTGGATTGGCTGACGTCATTTCTTGGAAGCTCCGCCTTTCCAGAGGCTATAAAAGGACTCGCAAAAGAATATCGGGGCTTTTTCTTAAATGTCACGATGCAGTAAACTTCATACAAAATATTCTTAGTAGTTCTTTTTTATTTACTCCGTATATCTGATTTTGTAACTGCTATTTCTTCTGACCAATAATTAATGGATCCTGTTTTTTAAACTTATCATCTGATCATTTAAGCTACGACTACATTTATGATTCTTTAACAATCTATTTATTGCTGACAAAAGCTGGTACATCATATATATATATACGTTTAGTGCTGCTGTCTGCAACGAGGAAAGGAGATGCACAACTAAATGTTATAGCGGTCCCATGCAAAAAATTTCAACGTTCTACGGCTACTAGTTTTTGAGTTATGCGATACGCATACGTACGTGCAGATGTCAAGAAAAAAATATCTCTTCTAAATCCATTTTGCAGTCCGTTTTAAAACACGAGTCTTTTATTCTGTACGTACGTACAGATGTCACGCAAAAACATCGTTCAGATGGATCCGAGAGTGGTTAAAATGAATATTTTCTCTGATATATGTACCGAAACTTTTCGCTATTGCAATACTTCTTTTACTTGATGCAAGGTAGTAAAAAGTGTAAAACAAAACCATTCTTTAATCTCATTAGCAGCTGGGTGTTCCAAGAAATGATGCTCGTTATAACCGTCATTCAATAATGTAATTTGCAAATATAACGTTGATTTTTGTTTTTTAAATTCTAAAATAACCATCAGTCAGTTAACGAAGAATATATGGGAAACTATTTTAATTATGGAAATACCTGAATACCAAAAAATATGTAGTACCGGTCTTTATAAATGAAACCTTCTGCTGTAAGCTGTCTAGCGATATCTTACAACTATTTAATATGAGGATAATAACAGTGGTGAAAGAACAACCAGTTATTTCAATACACCAACATAATGAAAAATAAAATCATGCACGATCATAACTATACACTGCAATTATACGTACAGATATAACATGAACACAGAATGCATTTCAGCATCCTGAAGACTACTAAGCCTTTTGCATGCAAGAAATTATAATGAAATAAGGTTTTTTTTTTAATACAACCACCTTCTCTTTCAAAATGATCTAAACAACTAAATCAGTAAATAAAAAAATTCAATATAGAAAATTAACACCACAGTCTGATTACCTCGAAGTGTAAAAACATCAAAATTTTAAAAAGTTAAAATAACAGTTTAAAAAAAATTAGAAAATATAAAAAAAAACAAAATCTGAAAGCTTTTAAGATTTTATATTACACCCAAAGGGTCGTTTTTTTATTGTTTTGTGTGCTATCTTTATTTGTTAAATATTATGTTCTTCGCACTTAAACCATAAAATTCAATTCAATAGCAATATCACAAAATAATTTAAAACGACCATATCTTTAGAATTTCCGATATACAGTCTCGCACCCAGGAGATAAAAAATGTATTTTTTTTTTCGTACGGTGTTGCCATAGCTCGCTTTGAAATCGTTGTGTTTCGTAATCAAAAATTCATAAATGCTTTAAAAAATATGAAATAGATGATAAAACAAATTCCAAATTTGGACTTCCAGATGCCCATATTCGGGTGAAGACGTACGTTATTCAAAACTTTATAACTCTACGTACCGTTATTATGTCACAGTGTTAGAAACATACATACATATATGCAGATTCATCATTATTTAATTTCTTTAAATATAATACAGAGGTATAATATTTGGTCGCAACAATTTGAAAAGTGATACGTCGTTTATAGCGATTTCAATGGTAAATGCCGTTTCAGAGACTAATATCCCATTGGGGACTAACCTCCCTTTTGGGCTAAAAAGTATTCTAAATTGAGAATGAAATTTCGAAAAGCAAAACTTGTCTCTTTAGTTCGTAACAGTTAAGAAAAAAACAAGTGACCAAGATATAAATAGGTACTTCAAAGTTGCCCGAAGTACCTTCTTCTGCTACACATAATGAATGCACTCGAGAAGAATATGCTTAACATATTCATCGCTGTTACAGCAGCCAAAAAATTCACTTGAAATCGGCTGAACCAAGTGATGTTTTCACTTGATTCAAATCCGAATAGCTATAAATAACTCTTAAAATTTCCATGGTAATAAACAATTGAGGTAATTTAAAATCTGTTGAAAAGTAATCAACTTTTATTCGGTGAAAAATTGTAGGGACAAAACCTTTTGGTTAAGGCCCACCAGTGGCCAAAACGGTAAAGTCGCTGAACACTGGTAGTTCGGTCCGAGGTTCGAATCCCGCAAACGGGCTGGCTGCATGGGCGTTTTCGTGGTTTTCCCCATGTGTAACGTATATACGAACCAATTTTCCTTAGAAAGTCCTCCACGTAGGCACCCCTGGCAAATGTTCATTGTATTAAAAAAAAGTTACAGGGATATTATTTCATCCTAAATTAACATCAAATAGAAACGTACCTAGTAGAAAAAGAAATTATTAATTTAAGGCATAGGTCTACTTTATTTTAGTGGATCGCTTGCTCACGATGCTTGCAATAAATACTTCAAGCAGTTATATTACCTATTTTGTGGAAATTATTAAGATTATTAGGACACAAAAATATGTCGAAGCGGCTTAAGATGTTTAAAAAATTGCTGTGTTATTTTCGTATACATATCCCATTTCAGCTCTTGAAACAGAAATAAATGTCACTTCCCAGAAAATCTAGATCTAAAACATGAAATCACATATTTAAAATGAGTTATTCATACTATACCCAGAGGTAAACGTAAGTCAAGTGTTTTATTTTTTATCATAAAAATTAAATGATTTAAATTATCTTAAAAACTAAATGATTTTGTGATTGTAAAAATAGACGGACGTGGCAGAAAGCCATTGTCTTCTATCCCTATATCTATCTATATCCCTATATCTGTCTATATCCTATCTGTAAGTAGTCCTGTTAGCGGTCGGAGAAAAAATCTTGCTGTGATATTGTTCTATCATCAATTTACGTCAGGCAGAGGTTTTTTTTATCTCATTTAATGAAGCAAAGATTTAATTATTTAAGACGTAACCGTGCATTGTTTTCACTTCGTGGCTTGCAATTGAGACTTGCAATAAGTATTTCCTGCAACTTGAAGTAACAAGAATTTTTCTTTTAAAAGACATGAAATTCAAGTAAGGAAAATTATAACGTCTGATTTCTTCAGGTTTAAAAAATCTGTGTATTTCTATAAATTCTCAGTTGTGAAATGTGAACTTGCATTAAAATGTTTTAAAGTGCTATTTTCTTTTTATATTAATGACAAGAAAGTTTATTTGCTTTACCTTGCTAAAATAGAAGACAATGGCTTTCTGCCACGTCCGTCTATTTTTACAATCACAAAATCATTTAGTTTTTAAGATAATTTAAATCATTTAATTTTTATGATAAAAAATAAAACACTTGACTTACGTTTACCTCTGGGTATAGTATGAATTATTTTTCAATGCTCCCTTATTTGCTTTTCATTAGTAATAAAATGTTACTATTGAAAAGCAAAATTCTTATATAAAGTGAAGGTGCCTTAACAAAAAGATTCTTTCTCTCTTTCAAACATTTTTAGAAATGGAAGGTCGGAAAATATTTTAATCGAGCCCAGCGTATAATTAAATGTAGATCATATTTCCTTTTAATTATTTGAGAATGTGTATTAATATAAAAACAAATTCTTGGGAAATTCAAAGTCTAAAAATTAGAAACTTTCAAAATATGAAACAAAAGGAAATTTATTATCAAGCTGTTTATGAATCATTTTTTACTCTCTTTTGCAGGTTTAATCACGCTAAGTTAAAATTATTTTAATATTTTTCTGAAAATAACAGTGTTTTCTTAAAATAGTAGTTAATTATTTTACTTTTAAACATAACTACAGCATATGTCTCTATAGAGATTCAATGTTTCAGAATCTTTTCGCTCCACGTTTTTGGAACTCCAAGAAACATAAAAAAAAGTTCCACAGAAGACTTAAATGGAATTCGTTGTCTCTTAAGTACGCATGAAAAAGATGTTTCGAAAGACCCCCATTTATTTAATCCTTTTTTCTCTCAGAATTTCGTCATCTATGGCTATTAAATATGCATATCACATATGCTATTACGTTCTCACGGATTCTCAATAGAAATAGATTTTGGAAAAACCTTGAGTGGATCTTTATAAAGCATCTATAAAATACCTCCAGAAAGGCTTAGAGAAATCATAAAATAAATCAGGAAAGTGTGCTGAAATAATATGTAGAAAAATGCTGGTTGGATCTGCCTCTCTCTCTCCTCCTTGCCTGCCTTTTTTTCACTTTGAAATAGCCAACTAGAAATAACATAATAAACCACAAGATTCTCCCAACCAATAGAAATTGCTGAGCTAGCTGATTGACAGTAAATGTCCGAGGTTAGATGAGGGACAGGTTTTTTAATTATTTTTTAGCTCGACCAATCACATGCGTCTGGACCATCGTCGAAACAAGGTATAAAAGGGAGAGAGAGTGAAGGTTAGGGACGAGATAGCTTTTCTAGCCTAGCAAAGGGGAGCACGGCTGAATAGTGGGAATCTTTGACTTCCAGTGTAGTTCTACTCTGAGGATAAAGGTATGCTTGTGTAGTATTGTCTTACCACAAGAGTTAGATAATTTAACTTTGAATATTTTAAAATCTGAGTTATTAGATAAAAATAAATGTCGTGTAAGCGTCTTAATTTCGTTTCCAGAAAATTCTAGTAACTGTAATATTCTTTACCGAGTTTTATTTAGATATTATTAACCTGATTTTAATTCGGTGACTGTAACACACTTTTGCAAATTTTATTCAAATGATGGTGACTTAATTTTACTAGAATATTTAGCAACTGTAAATTTCCTTACCTAATTTTATTCAGATATTATTAACTTAACTAATTTGGTGACTGTAACATTTATCGAATTTTATTCAGATGAAGGGATTTAGATTTATATTTGTGTTAATACTTTACTTGTTAAATTACATAACCTAATTCTTTAAATGTTTGAATTTATATTTTATTCGGAGAAGGAGAATATAATCCTGAGACGGGTGTAAATTAAGCATGCAACATTAAATTAAGTTTGAAAACCAATTGTTCTCGTAGAGTGTTCCATTTTATAATTTAATGCATTTGTTTTTCAAAGATTATATATTTATATAATGTATGTATTTAAAATAATTTAAAGGTAATTAATGTTGCATATATCAGTGGGCTTATTTATTTAATTTGTTATTCATTGAAATCTTAATTTTAAACTTAATACTTATGGTATCAAAATGGCACAATCATGTAATATTTTAAATTTGTTATCAGAAAAAAACGAAGTGAATTTGAAATTTTGATTCAAAGCTTTAACCTTAGTAACGTATAGATCATAAGATTGAGTGATGATTAAATTTGAAGTTAATGTATAAATTCAAATAAGTATACATTCAAACATACATTGTTTGTTACGTGCTACAGACGCAAATATATATTTATCTGAAATTGATAATTAAATTCGCTGAACGTATTATTTTGTAACAAAGGGGTTGCTTAGTTATACAAATAAATCTAAAAAGGGATTTATTTTCGATGGAAGCGTGGAGAAGATTGCATTAATTTAATATAATTTGCCACATAATGGATAGAAAATTATTTTTTATATATTTACTTAGACATTTATGAAGAATTTATAAATAGCTAATTAAAAGAATATTTTACACATTTTAAAATTATTTTCTTGAAGCTATGGTTTCGAAAGGATTTCGCAAAAGAAAATCGTAATAGTTCTCATAATACTTCATAACATGTTAAAAAATAATCAACGTATTTCATTTGGTTATGAAGATTTTAATTGGTGTATTAAATTATAGCTCTATAAAATTTGTAAACTCCTTTTTTTTTCTTTTTTTTTTCTTTTTTTTTTTTAATTTCGCTCATTTTGAAGAATAATTTAACTGAAATAGTAGGCCTTTCTGTTTCTGACTTATAAACTTTATTATTTTAAATATGTATCATAAATGGGAAAATAAAATAAACTTTTTGAAAAAATTTGAATTTTTTATTTGTTTTTTTTTTAATTTTATTTAATTTTAAATTATTTTACACTTTCTCAGTGCAGTTTAAAAGCTGATAGTCATATCATGGAATTTATACATATCTTTGTATAATTCTCTCTTTAGAGCGTATAATATTTTTACAATTATAGCTTCTATCCTTCATTAAATATTGCGTCAGACACATTTGAAGCTGTTGCGAATTACTATAAGAAAGATAAAAACAAATTTTTTTAAACATGTTATTTTCATTATTTTCGTGACAAACGCTTGGAAAAAATAAATTATTTTGTGCTAAAATTAGTTTCTGAAAGGCTTATGAATACAGAAAAGAAGTTAAATTATTCAGTTGGCATCGGTTCAAGAAGTAATACTTCCGCTTTGTGTTAACATCACTGCAAGCTTCATGTCTTAAAGGAGAAGAAAACTATCAGGCGGAGAAAACTTTACAATTAGTTCCTTGTATTGCATTTGCTGGCGCTAAAAGTAAGCGTTAGCATATTTAATCTTAATTTTAATAAACGAAGTTCAAAATAAACTACGTGTGAATTTATGGAATTAAAATTGTTTCATTAAAATTATTTTTATGCATTTCAACCACTAAATCTATTTTCTCAAAGCTTGAGAAATAATTAAATTTTTATAATAATGAAATTTAAAAGAAAATTAATAAGATTTTGATCTTTAAATGAAAGGTGACACGAACACATAGTTAACGAATCCGATGTTTGAAAAATTTGTGCAATCCTAAGCAATGTTACATGTTTTATTAAAATCAAATGTGACTAGAGCAGATTCTATTCACTATTTAAAATAATAATTTCATAAAGAAATTAGAAATTTTTAAAAAATGAAAATATTCTTAACTTTGCGGCTTTAAATTGCAGTATCGTCACTTAGAGAAATCTTTAGATAGCAGTAGGTTTATTTATTTTTAATTAAAAAGCAATGTCCTGCTGCAAGGAATATTAAGATTAATCATTTACGTACTTTAGATTCATTTTTTTATTAAGTAACTGCAAAGATTTATTTTCTTTCGTCTCTCAAATGGGTTGAAAATATACAGTTTACGATAGAATTCATTCTTCTGTTATAAAATAAAACGTTTAATAAATATTTAGCTATAATTATATTAACACAGAAAATGTTTTAATTTTATGTTTTATGATGTTTAAGCTATTAAGTAAGCAAACATTCCTGCTTAAATTGGTTTATCATAAAATAATAAAAATATAAAAGTTTGAAGCAAATATTATATAAAATTACACTGATACTGAAAGCAACGGACTAAGTCCTTCTTCTTCGAGTGGACACTCATAGTTATACTTTCTTGAAGGTATACATCAGTCGTTCTAGAAATTGGTAGAGTTTTATGCAAATTCTACGCAGGTCTAAAGTTGTTGTTTCGTGCCTAATTTTATATTTTGGTGTGTATCTTTCTGCTGTCTTAAAAAGAGTTCTGAAACAAAATTAGAGCACAAAATTTGTTCAAATTCTTAGAAATTGTCTAACCTTACGTCTTTAGATAATTCTTGCGGTCAAAGCCACGAATCTGACAGGAACGCTTAAAGATGCATGATTAAAAAAAATTAAGTAAAATATTTCCGAGTTTTCGAGCAATTTCCTTGGACTAATGTTAACCTTATTAAATTTCAACAGTGAATGGTAAGATGTTAACCCGTGTTCATTCATGAAATCAGTTGGTTACGAGTAATTCTGAATCTATTTATTCCAGAAGAAAAAGAATTTTTCCGTTTATCTTTCTTATAAAACTACTTTTAAAGCGCGATTTTGTGACATAATTTGACCTGAGAATGTAAACTAACTTCAAAATTCTTCAGGCGTAAACCACAGCAGAACTCAAGCTTTCCAGAATGAAATAATCATCGGAATTGCAGTTATCTGTAGATCTAATGACCTAGATCGTTTTCTCGTCTTTCGAGGTTAATTAAAATTTAAAGCTCTCTTTCTTTCGAGGTGAATGACAACAGTATTTTGTCGTCATTAAAAAAGTATTTTTTCTTTTTTATATTTTAGCGCATCAAGTAATAATTTTACAAGGTTAAATATTTTATTTTATACTTTTTAGTTTATATACAGGGAGACTTTAAGAAATGAAACTCCTTGCCTTTAACGTAGTTAAAGCTAGTCCTTTCGATCTGTATAGCAACAACGCATGCGTGATGTCTTTTTGAGAGGGGGGGGTTTAGATCTATTCGGTGGCTTAAAATTACATTCAATTCATTTAAATTTGTGTTTGATTTGTCATCATTTAAAATCAAAAGGTTTCTGACAAAAACTAATATTTTATTTTAGAAACCACAAACTCGTTAAAAAGTCGACAAAACTGGGTAAGTTATGTCAGAAACTCTGAAAGAACTTCGTTTGGAGAACTACTTTGATCTAGTCAAGGTTATAAATATCAAAATTTTGAGATACTAAGCAGAGATGTGTGAGAAATGTTCACATTTAATTGAAAAATCACTGTACCAAATTATGAAAACATTCCTATGGAATACTGTTTTGTCACCTCAAATACGTATATATAAAAATTTAAAGAAAATCCTATGAGTAGAAGGAGTCGAGTAATTACTTTCAGAATCTAATCCAAACAAATAGACAAAATTAACTAAGTTAAATAAAAATAGTTGGATAACATACCTTACTCGCATTCCAGTAAAATCAGAAGATCTGGATAAATGAATTAGCTTAGAGAAAATTGTTTTACTTTTCCGATTACTTTAATGGATCTTCTTTAATTTGGATCACTGACGTTCTAGTGCATTGTACTTTGTCAGTATACGTACTCATCTATGTATTTAAAACTGTATAACTTTGTGCGAAGAGTTTAATGAATTGTACATTTGTTTTGTTACAGATAGTCGTCTGTCCTACTGTATCAGCGATCAAAATGACTTTTGTCTTAGTGTCTCCCCTCACGACGATCTTAGGCGCTGTCTCATTGGCACTTGCATGTCTCGTTCTGTTGATCCGCTTGAAGTCGATGAGGGCAGGCAAAAATTCTTCGCTGAAGACACTTCCTGGACCCATAGCATTTCCAGTAATAGGTATGATATGTTATTTCTTATGATGCATTACTTATATAAAAATGCAGCACCTTTAAATCGATATTAAAAATTCTATAATATGTAGAATGAACTTAAAAATAGAAAATTAAAAATACACATTCACTCACAGCATAAATATGTACATTGGTACTAAAAAAAGGCCAATGTCCAATTTACAAGTTTTGCTGGAAAATGTAGCCTCGAGAAGTTCGTGCACCTAGAATTGAAAAAAAAAATTCTATGAGACAGCTGCTGTCTTTTATCTGAAAAGACGTGTAAATTATGATTTATTTTAATATACGGATTGCTATTAGTATTATAATGTCCCTTTTGAAACCAAATTACAAATCACTTTAATAATCTCATCAAAATGGACGTGATTTGGAATGCGATAAAAGGAAGACATGGGTTATCTTACGTGTAATTTTCATTATTATTCAAATATTAATAGTTACAAAATCTCAGATTCTATCATTTTAAACATTAGTCATTTTTCTACCATGGTACGGAACTAAAATTTTAGAAACCGTTTAAAAAAGTAATAAAATAGCGTTCAAATGTTTGTAGAGACGTTAGGTTATTTGGAAGCAGGATAAATGAAAAATGAGCAATGCCCCCCGGGACTCGAACCACGGATCTCTCGAATACGCGCCGAGTGTGCTGACCACCATACCACGAAGGCATGCTAAGAACGGAGAAATACCTTATATACTCCCTTCTTAAAGGGCGACTAGGGATTAGGGGACCCAGTCGCCAAATCCTAGTGGTGAAAAATCATGGTCCACTACCATTTCTTGTTCGGGCACCACTGTAGAGACATTAGGTATTTTTGAAGCAGGAAAGATGAAAAATTTGCAATGCCCTCGCCAGGACCGGAATCTCTGACCTCTCGAATACGCGTCGAGCGTGCTGACCACTACACCACGAAGGCATGCTATAAAGGCGGGAGAAATACCTTATCAACTTTTATTTTAAAATTTCATCTTTATGAAATATTTTCGAATTCAACAAAATCTACTCTAATTTAGCCATCTGTCCCAGCATATTTGCGTTGTGTATTAAGACGTATGGCAGAAAGAAAGTCGCTGTTGAAACTTTCGATGTAGAATATAAAAGCGTTTCTTTTATTAGGCAAAATGCATTCAAATTGGAATTACTAATCAATTCAAATTACCAAACGTATTTCAAGCATTTGAAGGCATGCTTCTTTTAATTAAAAACATTATAAATAGACTAAAATATTCCTAAAATTAATTGAATTCAAAAAGCCTCCCTTTTCTGCATAGTGATTAGGAAAGCTGGTTGCCGTATCTTTAAACTCGAAATTCGAATCTCTGACAACATACACATGTTTCTAATCTCTTCTTTCTCTTCCTAACATTGGTGTCCTTTCCTGCGTACACTCTGTTCAACTTTGTCGTTAATGAGCCGTTTAAATGAACGATCTGTTCATCCATTCCCGACGCATGCTTAAAAAACATCTGGTCGTTGGATTAATTGGGTTTAAAAATAGTAGTATAAGGAAAAATACCTTTTATTCATGTCTGGATGCACTTTGATTGCATATACGCTTATAAAATGCAAGCTACAAAGTAATCCGCTATAATTATTGGCTGTTTCTTACCTTTATTATTTCTTGTTTTGGTTTTAATTGTTTTTTTAAGCTTAGGATTCCAAATATTCGTATGGAAAAAAAAATAAAATTCAATTTTTCGAATCTCGAATTTTTTGTAAGATCTGAGATTAGGCAAAATGCATTCAAAGAATTCAAAGAATCTGAGATTTTGTAACTATTAATATAATAACCAAGTAGGATTTGAGAATTCGAATGTCTTTTTTCTACGATTCATATCTTATCGTCGTATAAGTTATCAAAACGCAAGTAATTATACAAATGAAAACAATGATATGATTTTTTTTATTTTTCTCTTTTTAAAGGTTCGTCTCATGTTGTCGCTCCTTACAGTAATCACTGGGTTGCCTTCTCGACGTTGCGAAAACAGTTCGGCGACATCTACGGCATTAGGTTGGGATCTCGCAAATGTGTGGTGATCAGCAACATGGCATTAATTAAAGAAGTGCTTGTCACGAAAAGTCTGGATTTTGCCAATCGTCCAGACTTCTTGCGTTTCCATGCCATCTTTCGTGGAGACAGAAATCTATGTGAGTATTTATATTTTCTCATTCGATTTTGTTACAGGCTGTCACTGAAATCTGTATGAGGTTTTGATATGTATGATGGTTTTAATCAAATATTCTATCTTTGTTTCAGCTATTGCACTGTGCGATTGGTCTGATAAGCAGAAAACACGCAGAGAAATTGCCTTTCCTTTCATGCATCCAAGAATGTCAAGTTTGGATGGGAGCCGAATGAACTGCTTCATAACCAAGGAAATGGGGGAATTAATAACGGCTTTATCTAAATGCGAAAACAAACCTCTATGCCCAAGGTCTTTATTGAATTTTACAACAGCTAATATCTTTTATCAGTATATCTGCAGCAGAAGATTTTCAGAACAAGATGCTACATTTTTAAAGGTGGTCGAAATCTACGACAATGTATTTCAAGAGCTCTTCAAATCGTTTGCCATAGATGTTATGTCTTGGATGAAAGTTTTCTACCTCCGCAGTCTTCGAGCGCTGAGGAAAGACGCTGAGTACGTATCCGAAATTACAGGGCCTATCTTCGAAGAACATGAAAAGGATATCGATTATGAAAAGCCTCGAGACCTTGTTGACATACTTTTGAGCTCTTTAAAAGAGAATGAAGGAAAACCAGATTCTCTAACAAGGGAAGATGCAGAGGTCATCATCGAAGATCTCATTGGAGGACATTCAGTTTTGGGTAATTTGTGGTTATGGGGAATATATCTACTTGCAGCCAACCCAGAGGCTCGAGCTAATATTCGAGAAGAAGTTATCAGAGTAACAAGTAACTGCAGAGCTCCCTGCGCAGAAGACCGGAAAAGCATGCCTTACACAGAAGCTACTGCCTTAGAAATCCTGCGCGTTGTTTCATCTCCAATCATACCTCATGTGGCCACCACCAATACTAGCATTCAAGGTAAATTTCTAATTCGAAAAAAAAAATCTCAAGCAAATTTCTACGCTTCTCTCTATTAAAATTTATTATGTTTAATAATTTCTTTTAAATGAAATAAAAATGATAATTAAAATTTGTTACCTCGACTAATCAGCTAAATAATTTTAATTAGTTGGTTGAATTTAAAGTAATCCTATTGATTTAAGTCTTATAATAATTTGTTTTCTTTTAAATAAAAAAACTGATCATTTGAGTTCAGAAATGTTTTTGAAAATTTCCAGTTATCTGAATGTTTATTATTACGATTTTGTCTGAAATGTTTCTTTTCATTTTTTATTACAGAATACTACGTTGAAAAAGATACAATGGTTATGTTCAATACTTGTGATATCAACATGGACCCTGAACTGTGGGAACAGCCAAGAAAATTCAAGCCAGAGAGGTAAGCATCCTTGATATTTTACGAAATATAAATATTTACCTCTTCAAATAATCTTCATATTTAAAATTACACATTTCATCGTATTACAAATCTCTCAGTAGAAAATCAATAAGCATATCTTAAAGAAAACTATGGTATTGAGAACCAGTATTATTTTAGTGAACTCTTCAATTAATACAACCAATACCATTTTAAGGTAATTTATGTTTAGATCGGGCTGTTAAAGTCACTGACAGGAATTAGTATCTTCATGGATAGATCTCATTTTAGAATTTTTATGATCGACAAATACCCCTTTCTGAAAAAGAGCTTGTTATATGAGAAATATCACGTCCCTAACTAATATAAATCGGTAAACTATTTACGCATATACTGGGCAATTTGATAAACCATTTTATTTATTACATTTATTCCTTCAAAATAAACCTATGTAAAGCTGGTATATGAGAAATAAGATGCATAATTTAAGATGCCTACAATTATATTCCTAGTAAATGTTAAATCTATAAACGAAGCGCCAAAAGTACTTGGCACCATTTTGAGAGTAAAATGAGGAACAGTACTCTCTTTATCACTCAATAAAGTAGTCTCAGAATATTTCATCAATACATTAAACAGTAAGATTTTCAAATCTCCCGAATTAACAGTTGGATGAATACACACGGATGCTAGAATAAATCTTGACTGCCCATTAACAATTACGTCAACCATGCACATATCGCATGCTTTGGAATCCTGGGATATGTGATATGAGGGACGTAGCCCGACCCTTCTGGCAGACGTTACGTCGCCCTATGGCCTTTTTGAGGGCTGTGCCAGAAACAACCAGCACCTTCACAGACAAAAGCAAATTCCAAAATGCCTTATGATTAATCTTCTCCATCATTTTCCTGGAAAATTTTTTCAGCCTTTTAAAATCATTTAAAATATCATATATACATTAAAAACATCATTTTTCTTAAACTCGTTCCTGATATCAGTAAAATATTTACATGTTTCTACATAATGCTCTGCAGTGCCCGGTTCTTTACAGATATCACAGAGGTCAGACTCTTGTAATTTAAAACTTTTAAAATAGAAAGGAAAACGCTCATGACCTGTAATGATTTGGTAACGTCAATGTCTTAATAACATAAACCTTTTTTAAGTTTAACAAATTTCATATAACCTTTATTTCGATCAGACCTTTCCCACCCCTCCCTCCATTTATCATAAATATAATTTTTCATAATAATAGTCACAGCTTTCCTTGTTGATCCATTTACATCAATATCACCAGCATTATCATCGGTAATGGCCTCCTTGGCCAGTGCGTCCGCCCTTTCATTTCCAAAATGTCCAACGTGTGCCTTCACCGAATTAAACACAATATTTTGATCTTCTCTCAAGTCTTTGCATAATTCTCTAATATCTACTATTAAAGGGTTGTCTTGATCAGGTCGTGAGAGAGCTTGAAGAACTGTCATGATAAACATGTATGTCATATTTCCCTTTAAGAGTCTTCTTAATCCATTTCAGTGAATAAAAAATAGCCATAGCTTCCGCTTGATAAACTGAGTTATAAATATTGAGTTTAAATTTATTATTCTCAATCTCTGTTCCATAATAATATATAACATATGCGAAAGCAATGGCGTCTCCCAGACCTGACCCGTCTGTATAAATGTCAATTTCGGAATCTTGTTTTGTTTTGTTAGGGCGTAGCCTGTCCACCTTGCAAAGCAAAGTTTGCCCTATGACCATATGCAGGCTACGTACAAATCTCTTGTATTCTTTTACGCTACTTAATAGTCAATTCTATTGATACACAATCTGCTACAGTAGTTAAATTTAAACCGCAATACCACTAGCTTGGCGAAATAAAATAAAATACAGCAAACACCACAGAACACTCTGACTGTCTACCAGATGACCTTGCCACTGACGCTACGGTCGCGCATACCCACGGCGCTTTGATTTCACTAAAGCTTCATTATTGTTGACGCATTACTGTGGGTATACCCTTAAGAGTTTTTATCTTTGTGTGTATGTTTGCTAATGTACTTTTTCATCCATCTAAAAATGTATCTGGATTGATTGTAACATCTGTAGTCTCGAAAATACGAGCATTCGCTCACTCCTCAAATAACGTCTTTATTTTTGTTGTCCTGTCAGACCATTATGGAGAACCGTAATCCTACATTAACTCTTTCGCATCGAAGTCGCCCCAAACGCCCAAACATTCAGACATCGGCTGGACGCCCGAAACGCCTGAACAATTTCCTACCCAGTGCTTTCCCCCATCACGTTACTGCATTACTCATTGCTTTCAGGTGTTGTTAAATCACGTGTCAATTATTCTTTTGAAGCTACTAAAAGTAGCTTCCTTGTTTCCTTTGTTCCTTCCTTTCCTTTGTTTACTGTCAGTGTTTAGCTTTTGATGCCCGAAGTTGCAATCCCGTCCCAAGGGGGAAATTCACACAGTGTCAAAGCGTCAAAGAAAGAAGTTCTCGCTTTACTTAAGTAAGGCTATTATTAGAGCTGTAGTATTCAACTTGTCATGAGGGAAGGAAAAGCATTCCAAGAGAAATTCTTAGATACGGGCGTTTTCGATGTTTGGGGAATTGAGATTTTGCCCTCTCTCGATGCGAAAGAGTTAAAAAAGAAAAAATAAATAAAAACAGAACAGTTTCTGACCTTAATTCTTATCCTCTCTTCAAGAAAATATTTTGTTTTTTCACTTTTATATTTTTTAAAAAAACTCTTTGAAAGGATTGTCATATTTATTTGTTGATCATAATTATGGTTGTTTTGCTAATTATGGTTGCTCTGTTTTAGTTTAGTTTTCTAATCACCTAAAAACGAAATATAGAAAACATATAGTAACAACCACATAATAAAATAAATGAATTCAACTGGTCAACTTTCTTGGTGTGGTGTCGTGGTGTATTTAATTATGGCAAAGCACACTAGGGCTATCTGCCTAAGGGGAGGGATGCCTTGTGGAGGACTTTCTAAGGGAAACTGGCTCGTATACACGTTACACATGGGGAAAACCACGAAAACGCCCATGCAGCCAGCCCGTTCGCGGTATTCGAACTTCGGACCGAACTACCAGTGCTCAGCGTCTTTACCGCTCAGCCGCTGGTGGGCGCGTTTAAAACGCTGGCTTTATTACATTATATTCCAATAATCTGCTGAGCACTTAAATGATTTCAAATTTACTGACTCATAACTGCAATAATAAATAGATTCAGATAAAATAATCATTTTTATAAAATGCAAATTTAGAAACGGGCATTAAAACAACCGCTATGCTGAAGAAAAAGTAATGTAAAGAATGAATAAAAACTGTTAAAATGTGATGAAATTTAAATATTATAATGTATAAATAACAAGTACATACTATTCAGTGTCATCACTGTGAATATAAATTTCAATGATAAACTTCAATGTGTAATTAAAACAAAATTGAATTTATCCATATAGATGCCTAAATTCTTCGAAAATGTTAGAATTTGTTTTATTTTCATGTAATTTAGGTTACGATTAGGCAGGTACGATAGCCATTACACACATAAATTCTCTGGCAAAAACTGCATGTCGTCCTTTTATGCAATAAGGCTATGAGTTAATCTTCTAACTATCAGGTTGTGCCTAGAATACCAATTACTTGCTCTGAGTGCTTGTTAAAGTGCAGTCATTTATAATCCCCCTTCTCTCCACGATCTAAAATCTCAATTCTTACATTTCAGGTTCTTATCTAGCTCCGGGATAGTATCGAAACCCGATTACTTCATTCCTTTCGGGACAGGCAAGAGGACTTGCCTCGGGGACAGGCTCGTCAAATCTACTTTGTTCCTGGGTCTTGCCACCTTGATGCAAAACTTTGAAATCACTTTACCGGAGGGCTTCCCAGAACCAGACATGTACGACATTCCGGGTCTCGTCGTACCAAGACAAGAAATCTTTTTGGTCTTCAAGAAAATACAGGTTGACCAAACCATGGCCACCATTGATTTATATTGAACCTAGAGCTAATTTACAGCATTTAGATCATTTAATTTAATTAATTTTTCCTTGATCAATCATCTGCTCATCAGTATTTAGAAGTCTTTTTTGAGTCGTTGATCCAGGGCCAGATTTACAATTTGAGAAAAAAAATACAGATTTTGTGTTTTGATAATTTTCGTTAAAGAATTATAGAAATTATAATTTAGTGTATAATAAAAAAAAATAGTAGGTTAAATTTTAAAAATGGTTTAAAAAAGAAAGAAATTTGTAAGTATTTTAAAAAATAAGTTCTTTAAAATTTAGCATTTTTATCAGAATTTTAAATTTGGGTGAAATATAATTGTAATGTCATTCGTTTAAAAAATCTTACTACTGAATGGAAGTAGCTGTTTTTATTTTTTCCGTGAAATTAATTTTCAATATCTTATGGGGGCTCATACACCTTAAACCTCTTATGATTTTCGAATATGGTGACTGTTGCGAGAATTGGCATAGTTTATTTATTTTAAAAGCAATTACTTCGAACCTTTTACAGCTGACTACATAATATAGCTGCTTTGGAGACTGGTAATCAGAAAGTTTGTGTTGCTACAAATATTTTTGCAATTTAATCCGCTTTGTGAAAAAAATATTTCGTAACGTTTCCACCTTGCGCGCATGATATTTTAAAAATGGCTAATGGTACATACTTGAAATTGGATGAAAATTCTTTATATGGGTACTATTTTCTAACTGAACCAAAAATCTGATGAATATTTTAAAGCTAAAAAGTTTTAGGCACGAAAAGATTACAGATTTTTTTAATAAAATACATTTCATAAACTCAACTCCAATTAAAATAAAAATTTAACATGAAATTCTTAGAATTTTAGGTTCACAGTAGTTTCTAAATGTTATAAAAGCTATATATTAAATATGGAATTTAATTATACAACAGAATGTTTTAAAATGTACGCGTTAGATGTAAACATAATGAAAACTTTTGTCACAAAGCGGATTAAATTATCAAAATATTTGTGCCAACACAAACTTTCTGATGACTATTTCAGAAAGCAGCTATATTATGTAGTCAGCGGTAAAAAAGTTGGAAGCAATTGCTTTTAAAATAAATAAATTATCCCAATTCTTGCAACAGTCACATATTCGAAGATCTTATGGGTTTTAAGGTGTACGAGTCCCCTTAAACACTAATTAACTATTATTAACCAATCATTATCCCTTCTTTTACTTTATGGCACCAATTCTATAAATGGAAGTTATAATGCTTTTATGTCTTTAAATGTTATATTCCATAATTATTAGAATCATTCTTCTCCATTAAATACCAAAATCAAGAAGAGAAAAAAAAGATTAATTTAACCTTAAACGTCTTTGAAGTAGAATTATACATCTACTTCGGAAAAGATATATTTAAAGAACTCAAATAAGGTTAACCTTAAAATCTGGCCCTCTGTAGTTTCTTTATAAGGAACTTGAATTTTCGAAACCAAATGATTTGACAGTTGCTGGCAACGGTCCATTCCACCGCGATAGTCAATGTGTGGAAGTTTCGAAACGTTATGACGCAAGTCGTCAAGTCAATATATGTAAATGTCAAATTTTTTCCTCGAAGTATATTTTAATTATAACAATATCATCTGTTCAGCTAATTTAACAACTGAATTTGATTTTGTGTGTTATGTTTAAAATATTTTATACTAATTCATTTAATTGTGTGAAACAAAGTGTATTTAAAAATGCATATAATTAAGATGAAGTTTATTTATTCATAAACTGGGGATTAACTTCATCGGTAAAGGTAAAGTATTTTATGTTGAAATTGTATACTTAGTCTCCTTGTTTTGTATTAAATTATAAGGACAAACGGGTATCTTGTTGTATAAAAAAAAGAGATGGAATCATTTCGTTTCGTGCACCAGATTCTCTGATTTATTTATGTCATGCAATGCATATTAATTGCTTTTCTTAAACTTGCAAATTAAAATAGTTTACTTCAATACAGTAATTTTCCTGTTAATTATTAGCAGATAAAATATAAACCCTGTTTTTTTCCTAAAAGATTTGTTATCAAAGATTAATTTTTACTAAAGTTTTGTTTTTTGTTTCTGGTTGTATAAAATACTAAACGTTTGCATCCAAATGAGTGAAGTAGAAATATGTAAAATAATAAAAGCGTAATTTTCTGGAAATTTAATATATCTGTAATTAAAACATGGTTTTATGCAAGTTATTTTTTTAATCCTTTGTGAAGTAGTGCAGTGTCCACTTCTTTTACATGTAACTATTCAGTTATGCTACGGTTAATTTATATGTAAATGACAAAAATCATTATTTTAAAAAAATGTGTTAATTTCATTTGTGTAAATTCCATGTATTTTCTAAATGTATATAGCATTCTTTATTCATAATACTTAATTATAATTTCAAAAATGTGTGATGAAGCTGCCTTTGTGCAATGTAGATGTCGTTGTAAGGAAACTTTTGTATATGCGGACGAAATGCCTTGTTTCTACAAACAAGATCTATACAGTTGATAGATATGAGGTAATAGAGAATTAAGCTTGAAGTTTATTGAAAGATCACTGGAATGTAAAAATGTGTTAAATTGATCTCAAACACTTTTTGTTACGTTTCTTTTATATGTTGCTAACGAATGTCAGTATTTGTACAAAGAATCACGTGCAATAAAATGAAAGCTGTATTTTCATGTGTGCGTGGTTACCGTTTTCTTTAACTGATTTGCTTATGTAATTATATATATGTAATATATACATATATATTTTAGTTCGTATTATACTATTGTAACTTAAAATCCTTTTTGCATCAATAAAATAAAACCTTTTTTGTACAATAAACTCAGTTCTGGGCCCCTTTACTTATACGTGCAATGACAAAGAACATGTTCAAAACGTTTAACACCAAAACTCGTGGTAAAAGAAAATACTTCCATCTCTGTACTTGTATAAATTAAACACACAGATCAATACAGTGATGCTGGAAATTAAGAAAACAAAGCAGCACATGTGATAAAATACAGAACCTTAAACATAAACCCCACTGCAATATTACGTAGTTGTCTTCACATTATGTTATCAAAGAAGAGAATTGTTTTCCGATTTCACTTAGCACACATCATTGCTGCACAGAGCAGACGACAACTTAAGAAAAAAAAAACGAATATCAATATTTGCTTTTCTAAAAATGAGCAATTATAATTTAAATGCCTGAATAACATTACATGTCTAGAACTTTGGTACCGATTTCGCAATGTCTTTTATATGCATCAAGGACTTCCTATATAAAACAAGGATTAGATTAAACATAAATAACGAACAGAGAACCACGCAAAACTTTCCCAGTTCTTCTGAGAAAAGTTCATACCGGTGCAAAAGAACAAGATACGTACCATCGACTAATATTCTGCAATCAAGCTAAGTACCTGCTTCAAATTATTAAAGAAAAACTATGGATCCAAAACTGAGTTATTAAATGATCTGTCTTAATTCTGAGTGCGAAAGTCAAACATTCATGAGACTTTTCCGGCCTGTTTAGAACATGACTTTAGAGACAACATTTTTAGCAATATTATTATTACATTGCAAAGTCAGACTAAAAAGAAATTCTCAGTTTATAAAACCGAACTGACCTTTAAAAATCCATGGAAATCGTTATCTGAAATTCTTCTACCTCTTCATCGTCATCGTCGTCTTCTTCATATATAAGAGGGTCTTCACTGCCATTCAGGGTGTTACTTATGCCGCACTTCTTGAAAGATTAACAGTTTAATCCAATGTTGCCAGATACAGATAGGTTTCCCGCGAGATCGAACATATGGCCATCTTTAAGACTGACAGGAATTTTGAATCACACACTGGACATTTTTATATTAATTTCGAGTATAAGACGCATGTGAATTTTGGAAGCAAATTTTTGAAGAAAAAAGGTTCATCTTATAGTCCGTAAAATACGGTACATATGTATACACATACACATATACGCACATACATTTACGTGTGCATGAACACATACATTTTTGATTCCAGCCCTGATAATAGAAGAGTACCGATAACTATTAGGCTTAAACTAATCATTTTAAAGATGCTGCTTAGAAAAACATGCGTTTTTATTATATCAAATTTCAGACTTGCATGAATACTTTATAATATAAATAAATGTATGCATCATACGATCGTCTGCACATCGTAATACAAAACAGAAATCAACTTTTTCAATGGAAGACTTGAAATAAACGAAGTAATTCTCTCATATCGTTGCCAACAAAAATTAACATTTTATTCGTTAAATGGAATTGAAAGGCAGACTTTTCTTACAGATTTTTCCCAGGTATTTTTAAATCTGGTTCTATTTGTTGAATGTTATATCTCTGTAAATCTGCAGATTACGTATTCATTTCAAAACTATAAAATTTAACAAGCAAAAGAGTTACATTTTGTAGACTAGTATGCGCATTTAATAAACCACCAATTTAAGATTCAATAAAACATTATTTATGGTTGGCAGAAGAAATTTGATTTCATTTTGTAACCAACACATAAGAGTACGTAAAAGTTATATATGAAAGAAAATCACTGTTGAACACCCATATTCTGTACGCGCCAAAGAGTGAAATGCAAATTCTTTCGCCCCAAAAGATCATCTTAATCTATGATTGTTGGAATTTTGTTAATGAAACTTGTTAATTGAATCTGGTAATCTGTTGTAATTTTGTTACTGAAATCTGTTAATTTATTTGTTAATGAAATCTGTTGGAATTTTGTTAATGAAAATTCACACTTTACATGACCAATTTACAGAGTGATTAAAATGAAAGCATCACATTCCTGTGAGATAATAAAAATGTTTTTATTACATTTTAAATGAATTTTAAAAAAAGAAGCCATTCGACAAGGAAATTTGATAATAAAATGGTTATTGATGTTGACAGTATTCTAGTAGACGTTTTCTGAAACTGAACACTTATGACCCTTTTTATAACTTTCACTTTTTTCTGTGAGAGAGTAAGAACGTATGCTTTGAACTATAGTATTCTTGGTTGTTATGTTGTATTTTCCCAACTTTGTCTATGGGATGCTGGTTTAATAATTTTAAAGTGGCAGTTTTACCATAAAACTTTTACGATTATTTTGTAATTATAGATATATATTATTTGTTTTACCTAATTTAAATAAACCAAAACTCTAAAAAGTAGTTTTGTATAAAAAAAGAAAGTTTTATAAAATTTAATTTATAAAAAAGTATTAAATATATATTTTTTCAAAACAAAATTATCTTCGAAGATAATATATTCAAAGCTAAATCCTTTCCCTTTTTAATGGAAAACCACCTTAATAATGTTTTGGTTTAGGTTTGGCTCGGTTTATTTGATTATGGCAAAGCATTCAAGGGTTATCTGCCCAAAGGAAGAGATGCCTTCGTGGAGGACTTTCTAAGGAAAACTGGCTGGTATACACATTACACATGGGGAAAGCCACTTAACAATGAGTTATCTA